ACAGGAAATTCTATCAACAGCGTGTACTAACCTAGAGGACATTATGTGACGCACGGGGAGGCAGCAACCTTTGTGTGATCTCACTGACAGGTGGAATCTTGAAAATCCCGAGTGGGAGGGGGAGATGCCCGTCACCCGGAACCGAGTCAACGCTGGGGAGGATGAATAAGGCTTGGTGCTCCGGTCACAAAGGAAGACTGCAGCTGACTCACACAGTGCGTTTTTCAAAACAGCTAATGGAGGAGGATTTCAAATCGTAAAAGAATCAATGCAAAGCATGATAAATGTCTGCAGTGATAGATATGGGGGAGTACCACATTTGATCATCACACAGCACATCCATGTTCCAAGCATGACATTAAAACCAGGCTCGGTGGCACACACCTGTAATCCCAGCACTCAGGAGGCTGAGGCAGGAGAATCACTGTGAGTGTGAGGCCAGCCTGGACTGCATAGGGAGACGCTGTCTCAAAAACAAAAACAAAGCATTGAAGGGTAGGTCCTTTAGGGCTTTGTAGGGTGTGAGGACTTGGATTTTTACCCGTCACGTGTAAAATGGACAGCACATCCATAAGGTACCTAGGGACAAACATGGCTCCCCTGGCAAGAGACTGGGGTGGAGGCAGGGCCCAGGGAAGGGGCTACTGCAGTGATCCCAGCCACATACACTGGTGCGACAGAGGTGGGCAGAGCCTGGGAAACGTGAGCAGCAGAGCCGGCTGCCGGGCGGCATGGGGGTGTGAGAAGCAGCCAGGTGCCGCAGGGACCTGGGGTTTGTCCCTGGTGCGTGTGGGTGGCAGAAAGTCTCCTGAATGTCCTGCTGTTTAGCACTTCTGGGCCTCCACTGCTTGGGCCTCCCACCCAAGCCTCGCTGCACCCCAGCCCCTGGCACAGCTGGCTCGAAGGCCATCCTGTAGGGAAACTGTTGTAACCCTGACTCTGCTCCTTCTCGGAATGGACAATGGATGGTTGCACCAAGCAGCTACCACCCAATGACAGGAAAGGGCCTTGGCCTCAACCAGGAGCAAATCTGTTGGCAGGAAACGTTTGATTTTTTCCTTCAGCAGACATTCACCGGGCGCCTACTGTGTACCAGGCACTGCAAAGGGTGGAGAGGACAACCACCAGGAGGGACAGGAGGACAAAGCAGTCAGACAACTGAGAATGGCACTCAGTATCGAGAATGGCATTTAGTATCGAGAATGGCAAGTGCAAAGGCCCTGGGGCAACTGTGCTGGGTGGTGGCCAGCACTTCCAGGGGATGGTACAGCCAGAGCTGGGGTGCAGTGGAACAGTAGGCAGGAGGAAGGGGAGGGTGCCATCATGGGAGTTTCACAGGCCTGGCGAGCACTTTGCTTCTACTCTGAGTGACAAAGGAGCCATAGGCGGTTCTGCACAGAAAAGGGATTTATTAACTGTGCTCCTTATTTTGTGATTTTTCTGTTTTGGTACCTGGAGTCGAACTCAGGACCTTGCACTTGCCAGGCAGGCGCTTGTGCCACTGAGCTATATCCCCGGCCCCCTTTTGTGATATTTTGACATTTTTTTTTTCTTTCTTTTTTGAGATGGGCAGGCTCAAGTAATCCTCCTGCTGAAGCTTCCTGAATAGCTGAGACTGCAGGTGAGAACCACAGCACACAGCCAGTATTTTGACATCCTGAGCCTCGAGGGTCCAGAGAGGCCACCCTCCCAGGCCAGCCCTGGGGACCACCGATGGTCTTTGCCACCAGTGGTCTATGCCAGGCTGATGAGCATTCCAGAAACTTCCTTCTCCCCTTGGCCTAGTGCTGAACCATCATCAAAACTGCCACAGTTGCTCCAAACTGCCCCGTTTGAGCCA